TCCCTTTTTCTCTAATCTTTTCTTCGCGTTTTATTTCATTAAGTTGGACTTTGACCTCTGATATCCCTTCTTCTGCTTGAACAATTCGAGTGTTTAAACCTGTGCATACTTCTCGGAGTTCCTGTATTGTATTCTTCAGTTCCATTAATTCACTCATACTCCTCTCTAAGTTGTCTATTCTCAATAGGATTTCATCAAACCTTTTTTCAAAGTTCCTAGTTTCTTTACGTTGGGCTACAACGTGTTCTTTTAACTCACCGAAGTTTCTTATTATCCATTCCTTGAAGAGTGATTCTGTCATCAGGATGCACTCATTCTCCATCAAGCCTTGTTCCATTGTTGATGTGGAACTGTGATCATCTTTAGAGGGAGAGGCATTCTGACTTTGAGTATTCTCAGCTTTTTTACACTGGTTTCTTCCTGTCATTGTAAATTTATCCTCCTGCTGTCTGAATTTACCAACTTTCAGATTAGGTCTCTTGAGTGGGCGTCCAGGTTGTTAGTTCCCAGGGCCAGAGCAGCAGAGTTAAAACTGATGGTGCTTTTCTGCCCAGGATTCTCCTGTCTGGCTTCCTTTTTGTGTCCGCAATAGGCGACTCTGCCTTCCCGGGGCTCCAAACCTCGGTCAGAAGGGGAACCGGTCCCGTTTACTCTGTGCCGAGCGCTGCCGCGCCGAGGTGCTGTCACAGCCGCTGCGCCGGGCTCTGGTGTCGTGCTGGGGGCCATTGTGGGTCCTCCGAACCTGTTTACTCTGCTCCAAGAGCTGCCGCACAGAGGTGCCCGCGGAACCGCTGCGCCGGCCATGAGAGTCCCGCTGGCCACCCGTGTGTTTCCTCCACTGGGGAATCTTCTGCTCCGTGAGCGACCAGAATTTGTCTGAAAGTGTGGCGTCCTCTAGTTCTCCGCACCTTCCCTGAGAGCTGCAATCCCGGGATGTTAGCGATCGGCCATCTTGGATCCGTTCTCCTATTTTTTAATTTTTTAAATCTTTTCGAAGAACCAGCTTTTTGTTTCATTTATTTTGTATTGTTGTTGTTGTTTCAATTTAATTTAGTTCTCCTCTGATCTTCATGGTTTCTTTTCTTCTGTTGAGTGTTTGGGTTTGGATTGTTCCTGTTTCTCCAGCTCCATGAGGTATGATCTTAGGTTGTCTATTTGTGCTCTTTCAGACTTTTTGACCTAGGCATTTAATGCTATGAACTTTCCTCTTAGCACTGCTTTTGCCGTATCCCAGAGGTTTTGATAGATTGTGTCACTATTATTGTTCAGTTCAAATAATTTTTAAATTTCCATCTTGTTTTCATTGTTAACCCAAAAATCATTCAGGAGCAGGTTATTTAATTTCCATGTATTTGCATTGTTTCAAGGGTTTCTTTTGGAGTTGATTTCCAATTTTATTTCAGTGTGGTCTGAGCGAGTACTTGATATAATTTTGATTTTCTTAAATTTACTGAGACTTATTTTGTGGCCTATCATATGGTCTATCTTGGAGAATGTTCCATGTGCTCACGAATAGAATGTATATTCTGCAGTCGTTGGGTAGAATGTTCTATAAATATCTGTTAAGTCCACTTGTTGTAAGGTATAGTTTAAGTCCATTGATTCTTTGTTGACTTTCTGTCTTGATGACCTGACTTGTGCTGTCAGTGGAGTATTGAAGTCCCCTAATATTATTGTGTTGTTGTCTATCTCATTTCTTAGGTCTAGTAGTAATTGTTTTATAAATTTGGGAACTCCAGTGTTAGGTGCATATGTATTTAGAATTGTGATATTTTCCTGTTGGACTAGTTCTTTTATCATTATATATATAATGTCCCTCTTTATCTTTTTTAACTGCTGTTGCTTTAAAGTTTGTCTGATATAAGAATAGCTACTGTTGCTTGCTTTTGGTGTCCATTTGCATGGAATATCTTTTTCTACTCCCTTGCCTTACATTTATGTGAATCCTGCGTGTTAGGTGAGTCTCCTGAAGACATCAGAAATTTCGTTGGTGAATTCTTATACATTCTGCCATTCTGTATCTTTTAGGTGGAGCCCTTAGGCCATTTACATTCAATGTTAGTATTGTGATATCAGGTACTATTCTATTCATCATGCCATTTTGCCTGAATACCTTTTTTAAAATTGTGTTATTTTTATGTAGGTCATGTGAGATTTATGCCTTAAGGATGTTCCATTTTGGTGTATTTTGAGGATTTGTTCCAAGATGTAGAGCCCCTTTTAGCAGTTCTTGTAGTGCTGGCTTGGTAGTGGTGAATTCTCTCAGCATTTGTTTGTCTGGAAAAGACTGTATCTTTCCTGCATTTATGAAGCTTAGTTTTGCTGGATACAAAATTCTTGACTGATAATTGTTTTAAGGAGACCAAAATAGGACCCCGATCCCTTCTAGATTGTAGAGGTTTCTGCTGAGAAATATGCTGGTAATCTGATAGGTTTTCCTTTGTAGTTTACCTGATGCTGACAATTATCAGCCAAGAATTTTATGTCCAGGAAAACTAAGCTTCATAGATGCAGAAAAGATACAGTCTTTTCCAGAAAAACAAATGCTGAGAGAATTCACCACAGTGAGTCAAGGGATCTTTTCTGGGCATCCCAGATGCTGATCTCACAACGCTTTCTTGGGATGGGTAATTCTGAGGTGGCACAGGGCTTAAAGCAACTGTTAATTGCACTTTTTGGCTTTTTCTTTTTTTTTTTTTTAACCCCTTTTGTTCCATCCCTATTGTTGTAGACTTTAAAGGCCAAATTTGAGGTGGCTCATAGGGATTTGAGGTCCCATTGCTGCTGTCTGTAGCTTTCTCCTAATGTCAGGGGTAGAGTGAGTAATCAAATGTAACACAGGTGTGCCTGCCCTTCTGGGGAGTCTGAGTCTGCTTTAGTATATTTCCTGAGTGCCTCAACAAAATGACTCTGAAACAGAGTGGGATCTTTATCTTCTCCCTGAGTTATTTCTCTAACCTTGTCATAATTAGCTGGCTTAACCACATACATTTTTTCTCCACTTTTTTTTCCCCATGGCACAACAAGCAGATGATAATACTTGCAAGTCATGGCAAATTAAAGAACACAGTCAGCTTAAATTCCTCTGAAAACTGGCCAAGGTTTTCTTTGTATAAAGCCAAATTAGACATAAAAAATGGCACATGTACTCTAGGTGTTTCTGCATTTCCATTAGCTGCCTCCCACAATGACACAGTGTGACTTTAGGGTCAGCAGCACTACTGGTGGTACTAGTTGGACAGCAGTTGAGGGTATAGGCTGAGGCTACTTGGATAAGGGGGAGAGATACCTGATGATCTTGGGGTGGAATCCTTTGTTAGAGAACTGGTGGGACCCCCTTCACAACTGGGGGACTAGGGAGATTCCAGGGAGGGCATAGACCTTCTAGGAGGAGCAGCTAGAAGGATATCCCTTAGGTGTGGCTTTCTGGTACCTTAACTAATGTGAGTAAAGGGTCATAATAGCCCTCTATTGTACATAAGGGACCTCTTCCAATTTTCCTTCTTTTTTATAGAACAAATCCAATTGTAAAATATCATTTTAGGCCATATCTGTTGTTTTTTAAATTTGTATTGAACCCAAACAGTGATGCAATCGAAAATGAATTTTTCTTTAAGCTGAATTAGCCTAAAAGGCATCCTAGTGGTGAATTATCTGGAATACTCATCATTGTCCCCATGACTAGCAAGGATTTTTATTGGGCACAAATTTTTCTAGGCAAGAGGGAAAGTAACCAGGCCCTTGTTATTTTTCCCTTTTAGATTCCCACTCCCTGTAGAGAACGTGTAAGTGTAGGTAGGAAGGCATTACAAAAGTGGATTACAAATGGGCAGTAGAATGTTGAGCCTAAAATACACAGAGAATAAGGGTTGTTCAGAGAAGGAGCTAAACTCATGGAGACTGGAAGGGAGGAAGGGAAGAGGATAAACAGCGTTGCCTAAGGAAAGACCACAGAGGCTCTGACTTGCCAGGAGACCCTTCCCAGTAGTGGAGGCACACACAAGAAAATGTTCAGGTGGCCACTTGTCTACCACTGTAAGTGGTTGTCCATCAGGCTAGGGGCCTGGGAACTCCTGGTGCCTTTGACTAGGAGAGGCTTGAGCAAGGCAGTTGTAAGACAGCACACAGTGAGGGGCTTGCAACAGGCTGTTAGGAAAACAATAACTTCTAACTTCAGGGCAGAAAAAAGTGAGACCAATATTCCCATAGTGGGTGGGGCTATAACCTACAATCCTAGAGGGAATGTCAATGCTGAAAACCCCAGAGCATCTGGGGGTGGCCGCCAGAAACCCAAAGTGCCTGCTTCAGCTGGTCCCCTCACCAAATGCCAAAAACCTGGAGACACCCAGGGAGTGGCCAACAGTGAATCCAAGACTAAGTTGGGGTGACAGAACAATGTGACTGGTATCCCAGAGTTGACGCAGCGGGGCACAACTAAATGTCCTGCCTTAAACAATTGCCAAATACAGTTAACAGAAAGTTAAAAGGAAACATAAGACTTCAAATGAAACATAAATTTTAGGACTCAAAATAAAAATAAAACGATTGGTGGAACAATAAAATGGAGTCAGAAAAGAAAGGACTGGGGGAAGGAGTCACAAGGATGTGCCTCAGGGCACTCAAACTGTGGGGTACTTCTGACTGACCACTTAGCCAAAGGCTTTTTATTCCCCAGCTCACCAGATATTATGGAGTACGGGGAGAAGGGACACTTACCCATCCATAGGAGCAAAAATGGCACCAGCCAGTCTTTTATGTGGGATCCTGGTGAAGGTCTCTCCAGGGTCCCTGAGCTTGGGTGGGCTCAGCTGTTGCACAGGGGGAGCACAGGGACTGGTAATCCACTGGCCTGCTGTGGTCAGAGCTCACATGAGGCAGTGGCATTATGGCCGTTGTGTGTGTCTGCTTGGCTCTGCCTCCTGCCAGGGAAAATGAGGGTTCTGAAAAGAGCCTTTGGTTAGTGTTAGCAGCTCCTTATTGTTACAGCCTATTGTTGCAGCCTCGGTGTTATAGCTCTTGCAGCCTCAATCACAGACTGCTTTGTGATCTCTGACTGTCTCTCTGTGTGATCTTGCCAATCTCTCACTGTCTTGCCAGTTGCTGTCTCTCCCCAATGGTCACCTCTCCACTAATCACTGATTGCTGCCATCTCTGCTGTCTCACCATCTCACCTGTCTGCTGACTGCCACCGTCTTCACTGACTCATTGCCTCTTGCTCATTGTCTTTCTTTGGTCACCAGATGATGCAAGGCACGTGAGCCCCCAAATTGGGGCTTAGCCTGGGAAGATTCTTAGCTTTGCCCGGGAAAGAATCAAAGAGCAAGCCAGTGTGTTAAACAGCAACTTTTATTGAAGCAGCAGTGTATACTCAAAAATTTGGAAAAAAAAATTTGGTAACAGTGTAGATATTTCTTTCCCCATTATACTCTTCCAAGATCCTAATAAACCTGCAGAGGTACTGGTCCTTGTGGAGCAGGGATACCTCACAGGCAGCATGCTCAGAGCAGCAGCTCAAAGGCAGTGCTGCATTCACATTTATACCCACTTTTAATCACATGCAAATTAAGGGGTGGGTTATGCAGAAATTTCTGTATGTAAAGGGTGGTAACTTCCGGGTCATTGGGTCATTGCCATGGAAAGGGGTGGTAACTTCTGGGTGTTACCATGGCAGTGGTAAACTGACATGGCACACTAGTGGCCGTGTCATATGGAAAGGCACTTCTACCCCATCTGTTTTAGCTAGTCCTCAATTTGGTCTGTTGCTGAGCCCCGCCTCTGGAGTCCAGTCCCACCCACTTCCTACCACATTATCTTGATAGTATTTCAGACTACTCAGGTAGAGTGAATTTTATCTGCAAATCACACATGAGCCAGCTTGTAGTTATGAATTTTTAGGGGAAATATGTCCCCCTTTTCCACTTGGTACCAAGTATTGAGATGGGCAATTTTCATTCTCATTTTTTTTTGGTTCAAATCAAAAAGTTTTATACGAGAAACAAAAAGTGGGAGACATGATAACATATGACTGGGCTAAAAGAGCTGAAAAATCTCAACATATAATATACAAAACATTTCAAAATCTGCACTGAGTCTATACATTTCTACAAGGGGAAGAGGTGGGGCTTCCCCCCAGGTCTGTGTGAGTGATGGCGGAGTTCTCTCTCTGAAGTCTGGCTGGTGTCTGCCTAGGGTTTCTTTTTCCTCGTTTGTGCTCCTGTTCTCGGCTTATCGGGCCTCGATATCCTTCAGCGTGTGGGAAGGGGGCCTCTCCCTGATCTCTGCAGACAGAGGAGTAGTCCTCCTGGGAGAGACCGGGCGGCCCCCCAGCGTGGAGATGAGTGGGGGAGGCGCACTCAGCGCTGCTGTCGGAGGCGTCTTGTTGAGGAGTCCGTTCTTGTGGCCCGCGGTGGGGCTGATGCGGGGATAGTGCATGCTGGGGAGTCCTGGGGTGATGAGGCTGGGGTGGGGCAGGTGTCCGTCCAGGGAGGCGGGGTGCACGGAGTGGAGCCACGTGTGCTCATAGTCCTCTCTGAGCATGTGCAAGCGCTCCCGCTCGTCCAGGTGGCCTCCCTGCTCGTGTTCCCGCCGAGGGTCCACCGACAGCGGGTGGTGGTGGTGATGGTGGCTGTAGTCGTGAGGCTCCCGGTCCCTGAAGGAGCGGTCGGCTTCGTACAGCCGGGGAGTCGATAGCCGGTGAAGTGGGTCATTCCTTAGCAGAAAGTCCCTGCCCAGCGGGTCTCACCGGTGAATGTCAAGTTCTCGGTAAGGATCCCTCAGGGGGTCCCGGATAGAGTCCCAGTGGAAAGACGGGTACAGGAAGTGCTCTCCGCCTGGGAGGGGGCTGATGCCCATGAAGGGGGTCATCATGCAATTTCTGTCCAGGCTGCTGATGCTGTTCATGGGGTGAATGCCCGTCACCCCCACTGTCATGGGCATCGAGGCCAGGGGCCCCGGGTGCACGCTGGACGAGGAGTTGGGAGGCGGCGGCTCTGAGGCCCGGTGGGTCTGTGGGGCCTCCGGAGGCAGGTCGTGGTCTTCCTTCCGCTCCTCCTTCACCTTGACGTCGGAGCTCTTCTTGGGGTTCTCGTAGGCCAGCTCACCCTTGCACGGCTCAGCCTCCCGGCTCGAGGTGCTGTTGGACCTGGCGCTCTCCACCACGGGGGTCCGCAAGTAGGGGGCTCGCACCCGGGCCAGCTGCTTGACCTGTTCGCCTGCGGCGCGCCCCTCGTGGCCGTGCCCGTCCTTCTCGGGCAGGTGGCCCTCCTTTGCCTTGTGCTCTTCGGCCAGGTCCTTGCGGGATTCCGAGTGGTCTCTCTCCCTCTCTTTGGGTTTGTCCTTCTCCCGAGCCTCAGTGTTCAAATGGGCCCGGATCTGTTCAGTGGAGCTGCGGTTATGTCCCAGGGCATTCACCTGGAGGATAGGTGCTGGTGAAGGGTGGCTGGAGTGGCTCTTCTCGAGAGATGGGCAATTTTCTTCCCTGAGGAAGGAGTTGGGGGGCAGATTGATTTCCAGTTCACTTTAAGAATAAGGGGGTGAAGTGGGACGCGATGGCTCACGTGTGTAATCCCAGCACTTTGGGAGGCCAAGACAGGCAGATCACTTGAAGTCAGGAGTTTGAGACCAACCTGGCCAACATGGTGAAACTTCATCTCTACTAAAAATACAAAAATTAGCTGGGTATGATGGCGGGCACCTGTAATCCCAGCTACTCAGGTGGCTGATGCATGAGAATTGCTTGAACCTGGGAGGTGGAGGCTACAGTGAGCTGAGATCACACCACCGCCCTCCAGCCTCAGTGACAGAATGAGACTCCATCTCCAAAAAAGAAAAAGGAAAAAAGACTAAAGGGGCATAACTTTATGCATGCCAGTTTTATGCAGGAAAAGTTTTCTGTTAGACTCTCCATCTTGGGTGGTCACCGAGTTTTATCTCCTTTTCTCTGTACTTCATGAACCTGTGAAAAGGAACCCTGAAATTCATGTAGTTTGGCAAACACCATTAAGCCAAAAGTGCCTTCTATCCTTTGTCTAGTTTTTGGCCTCCGTTAATTTCTCTTTTTTAAAAATGAGTTTATTGACATACAAAAAGTCGTATAGCAGGTCCTCAAATAATATTTCACTCACTGTTGTTTCTTTATAACATTGATAAGGAAAAAATATTTTATCATTTTTTAAACTTTTTATAGAGACAGGGTCTCTATCACCCAGACTGGAGTATGGTGGTGTGATTATAGCTCACTGCAGCCTCAAACTCCCGGGCTCAACTGGCCCTCCCACCTCAGCCTCCTGAGTAGCTGGGATATAGGTGTGTGTGTACCACCTTGCCTGGCTAATTAGCCCAGATAATTAATTTTAATTAATAAATTTTTTAAAATTTAATTTTTTATTTTTGTAGAGACAGGGTCTCCCCATCTGGCCCAGGCTGGCCTTAAACTCCTGGGCTCAAGTGACCCTCCTACCTCAGCCTCTCAAAGTACTGGGATTATAGGCATGAGCCACTGCCCCTGGCCAGGGGAAAAAAAAAATTGATTCAGGCCAGGACCACTGTCTATGTGGAGTTTGCGTGTTCTCCTCATATATGGTAAAATTGGTTTCAGTATACATCATTTCACTTAAAGTTGCAATTTCCAAGAATCTATTGACAATATTGAGTACTTACAGTACATATTTAGGGTATATAACTTGAACTTGGAAGTCAGTATAGAATCATGATACCATCACTATAATCAATGCTGTAAACATATCCACCATCGTGTTTCCTCCTGCCCAATTTATTTATTTAGTGATGAGAACACTTAATATAAGATCTACCATCTTTTGGTTTATTAGTATCTTAGAAGAGCATGATGGAAAAAAAAATCTACCCTGTTAGCAAATTTCTAAGTATATAATACCATATTTATACTATATAGGCTCTAGGCACTATGTAGCACATTAGAAGTCTAGGACCTACTCCTTGCAAAACCAGAACTTTGTAAGCTTTGACCAACAACTCCAGCTTTCTCTCTCTCCATAGCTTCTGGTAATGGCCATTCTGCTGTGCTTCTATGAGTTTGACCTTTTTTTTTTTTTTTAAATTTTCCTCTGTCACCCAGGCTGGAGTGCAGTGTCGTGGTCTTGGCTCACTACAACCTCTGCCTTCCTGGTTCACACAATTCTCCTGCCTCAGCCTCTCCAGTAGCTGAGATTACAGACATGTGCCACCACACCCAGCTAATTTTTACATTTCTAGTAATGACAGGGTTTCACCAGTTTTACTGTGCTGGCCATGCTGGTCTCCAATGCCTGACCTCAAATGATCAGTCTGTCTCAGCCTCCCATAGTGCTGGGATTACAGGCATGAGCCATCACGCCCGGGAAGGTGTATTCCTAAAGATTCCTTTCTTTGTGAGAGCTACAGCACCCCACATGACCTGTGTAATACATAGTCGATAGCTTCAGATAATCTTCTGACGTATTCTGCCATAATGCTGGAAGGGGAAGTCCTCCAGTGTGTTGTCTAACTGGCAATGCTGTCTAATAAAGCTATTGATAATTGAATATATGTTTCAAGTAATAAGCATCTTATGGTACTCTTATGCTCATTGTTCTTCAGTTGCTTCTCAGGATTTTGTAGTTAGGCAGATGATGATTCTTTTCTTTCTTTCCAGTATTTATGGTTATTAATTTTGTTTTATGCATTGTCTATAATAACTTTGAATAGTAAAGGTGATAGTGAGCATCCTTATCTTGGATCTGACTTTTATAAAGTGAAGGACTATGAATCTTACATGCTAGCATTCATCTTATGCCCATGGCAAATATAGTTAATCCTTCTTAGTATCTTTTCCTGCTAAGCTGTGACTGTATTTCAGAAGCTCCCAGTACATTCCCATAAGTGACTATAGCCTATTTGGTTTGGTACAACAGGTAAGATTTATTTGTCAGTTCTGGCTCTGGTGTTTCTCCTAGATGTAGTTTGATATTGCCTATTTATTTCAGATATTCTCTATCATGTTTATATATATATCTGGTTTACTAAAAGTCCTTTTTAAGAAGAATCACAAGTGAATATTTAGTTTTATAAAAAAGCTTTCCAATATCTGCCAGGGTGATCAAATGGCTTTTATATCCTGTGGTTTATCATATGTTAATTGTACTAAGAAATTTTCTAGTTTAATCACTATGGTAGTTCTGGAATAAATCCTACTAGTTTCTCTCTCTCTCTTTTCTTTTTTGAAGGTCTCACTCTGTTGCCCAGCCTGGAAAGCAGGGGGGCAATCATGTCTCACTGCAGCTTTGACCTCCTGGGCCCAAGCAATCCTCCCACCTCAGCCTCCTGAGTAGCTGGGACTGCAGGGATGTGCCACCACATCTGGCTAATTTTTTATTTTTAGTAGAGACGAGGTCTCACTGTGTTGCCCAGGCTGGTCTCAAACTCCTGGGCTCAGGTGATCTTCCTGCCTTGGCCGCCCAAAGTGCTGGGATTACAGGCATGGGTTACCACCATGCCTGCCTCTGCTAGTCTTAATGTATATTATTCTTTTTCTGTTTTTTTTTTTTTTGAGATGAAGTTTTGCTCTTGTTGCCCAGGCTAGAGTGCAATGGTGCAATCTTGGCTCACTGCAACCTCCACCTCCCAGGTTCAAGTGATTCTCCTGTCTCAGCCTCCCAAGTAGGGCATACACCATCATGCCTGGCTAATTTTTGTATTTTCAGTAGAGACAAGGTTTCTCCATGTTGGTCAGGCTGGTCTTGAACTCCTAACCTCAGGTGATCCACCTGCCTCGGCCTCCCAAAGTGCTGGGATTACAGGTGGGAGCCACCGTGTCTGACCAATGTATATTATTCTTTTACAATATTACTGGACTTGTGTAGTTCATACTGTGTGCCAGGCGCTTGTGCTTGATGCTGAGGACATAGTCATGAACAAGATAGACAGACATGGTTTCTGCCCTTATTGAGCTGTCAGTCAATTCAGGGGTGATAACGAGCAGAACATTTGCCACCACTTCCCTCATCTGAACTTTTGGCAGAAATCACTGGAGATATGCTGTCTTGCAGAATCTTGGAAGATCTCAGAAAGGGGACAGTGATCCTTTATTGGCATCTGCCATGAATTGGAGAAAAGAAGACAGTGATAGCAAGCATCCTGCTTTTTTGCTGTTGCTAGTTTGATGTTTTATTTGGTAGGATTTTTTATCTGTAGAACTTTTGCGAGGTTAGGTATTGAATTTGTTGTCTTGAATTAAGTTCTTACTAATTTTGTAAATCAAGTGGAATGTGGATCTTTTGGTAGGGAGCATCGATTTGAGCACTTTTTCTATTCTCTTTTTTCTTTTTGAGATAGGGTATCCCTCTGTTACCCAGACTGGAGTGCAGTGATGCAACCACGGCTCACTGCAGCCTCAACTTACTGGGCTGAGGTGATTTTCTTATGTCAGCATCCTGAGTAGCTGGGACTACATGTTACCATGCCTGGCTAATTAAAAAAAATTTTTTTTATAGAGATGAGGTTTCACTGTGTTGCCCAGGCTCGTCTCGAACTCCTGGGCTCAAGCGATCCTCTGGCCTTGGCCTCTGAAAATGCTGGGATTACAGGTGTGAGTCACTGCACGTGGCTCAATTCTATTGTTATTTTATTCAGATGTTCTACATCATTTTGGGTTGATTTTGATTTATATTTTCCAAGACAATATTCGATCTTATTGATGTTTTCTAGTTTAATTATAGAGTTTCACTTAGTATTCTTTTATAATTAAAACACGAATTCTTATGTGCCTGTTTTTAGCCACTTCCTCAGTCCATTAGGGGATTGTATAGTCTTTCTCTTGGCTAACTGTGCCAGCAGTTTGCCTTTTTTTTTTTTGAGACGGAGTTTCGCTCTTGTTACCCAGGCTGGAGGGCAATGGCGTGATCTCGGCTCACCGCAACCTCTGCCTCCTGGGTTCAGGCAATTCTCCTGCCTCAGCCTCCTGAGTAGCTGGGATTACAGGCACGCGCCACCATGCCCAGCTAATTTTTTGTATTTTTATTAGAGACGAGGTTTCACCATGTTGACCAGGATGGAGTTTGCTTATTTTACTGTTGTTTTAAATAGCTTTTTAATAGTTCAATTGTTTTTCTGTTTCCTGATTTAGTGATTTCTATCAGTTTCATAAATTTCTCCTATTTTTGTTAGCTTTATGATGTTCTTTTTCTAGCTTCTTGAGTTGACTGCTTAGTCATTAGCTAGTTAATCTAGTTAGTTGGCTAGTTGCTTTTAGACTTGTTTGCCTGGCTAGTCTGTCTGCAACCTGTCCTGCTGAAGCCATCATGGTCTGCACACCTTCCCTCCTCCCTCCCAAGACACAGCTGCCTGGTTGGGGTGGTAGCCTCTTCGTCTTTAGTGAGGCCAGACTGAGAGAGATGAGTGAGGTTCGTGTGATGATGCTCACCTGTGTCTGTTTCTCCTTCCTTCTGCGACACATTGAAGACTATACTTCTCAGTTGCAAAATGTGAACAACTGGTAAATCTAGATAAAAGTTATATTTGTCTTGCAACTTTTCTATGGGTTTGATGTAGAAATTCTGGGTAATTCCGCAGCACACTCTGCTTAAGAAATCACTGTTGTAGAGATGTTGGGGAATGTGGGGTGTAGCGATTTCCTGATGAGCACGTTTCTACTCCCTCGTAACTCTACTCCAGAGTTACGAGGGAGTAGAAACTGGTAGTGACAAATCCATTTGGAAAAGGGAGAGAGAGACAGACAGCACTGAGCAGATGTGCAGAGAGAAGCATGTGGCCCCAGGGTGAGAGTGAAAATAGCTGCCTCAGCTCCTGTCAGTTCAAGTTCTCAATTCCAGTTTCCACGAGGCCTGGCTATATGGCAGGCTGTGTAGTTCCTTCCTTGGATACCCAGGAAATCTATCCATCCTTAAGATATCCTCTCTTCTTTTCACTCTTGACTCTCTTCTTTTACTGGGACCAGCCAAAGTAGACAATTGTTTCTTAGAGAAGCTCCCACTAGAACACTTGTTAGTGCTGATGTTGACAGTTCATTAGGTATAGCAACTATTCTGCTTTATTGTACCGTTTAAGTTAATCCTTACACTATTAGCATTCTCATTTTATAGAGGAAGGAAAAAGAGATACAGAGAGGTTTGCTAACTCACCCAAGGTTGTACAGCTCATAAGTGATGGAGCCAGGATCAAGCCTATACTCTCAATCACGAATACTCTCAATCATGAGGCCAGTATGCATTTGAAGCTAAAAATTGCCTCTGAATTCAGCTTTGATTGAATTCTCGTGTATTTATAAATGATTGTGTATAACTGGATTTTTTTTTTTGCCTCAAGAGTTAAGGTGGGTTAAAAAAAAATTTATTTCTTTAAGAGACAGGGTCTTGCTGTGTTGCCCAGGCTGGAGTGCAGTGGCTATTCACAGGTGTGACCATAATACCACTCTACAGCTTCAAATTCCTGGGCTCAAGTGATCCTCCTGCCTCAGCTTCCTAAGCAGCTGGGATTGTAGACATGCACCACCACGCCCAGCTCAAGGGAGTACTTTTAAATGTCTAAGTGTTAGGTTTTTGTTTGTTTAGCCTATTTAAAAAATTTTAAATTGTGCTTGTGTGAGGAAATGTGGTTTCTTTGTGCTTCTTGGAATTTTTGAGATTTTTCTTCATGGCCAAATATAAGGTCAGTTGTTTGTGTTTAAGTCTTCATTGTGGTGTTCATTTTATTCTTTCTCTGTACCTCTGTCTCTTCTTTAAAGTGGCTCAATCATTGAGGTTAGGCATTGGCTGTATTGATCTATAAGGCAACTGCCTAGTAGAAATAGTTAATAAGTAGGCTGAATAAATTAATATTGATCCTTGCAGATTTGAAGAATGTTATATATGTAAAAAAGCCAGGCCAGGTGCCGTGGCACATGCCTGTAATTCCAGCACTTTGGGAAGCTGAGGAGGGCGGATCGCTTTAACCCAGGAGTTCCAAGACCAGCCAGGACATGGTGAAAACTGTCTCTACAAAAATAAAAAAAAAGAAAAAATAGAAATTAGCTGGGTGTGGTGGTGGCATGCACCTGTAGTCCCAGCTACTCTGGAGGCTGAGGTGTGAGGATCAGTTTAGTCCAGGAGGCCAAGATTGCCGTGAGCTGAGACCATGCCGCTGCACTCCAGCTTAGGTGACAGAGTGAGACCCTGTCTCGAAAAAGAAAAAAATAGAATAGACCATTTCCTTTCCTTTGATCCCTCCAAATACCACTATTTCTGATCATACCATGCTTCTTTCAACCTCGAAAGCATAGATTTCAATAGCCATAATCTTTGGTTTGACACATTCTCATCATTGGTCCACACTTTATTAAAATGTATACATTATAAGCATTTTTTTTTTGATACGGCGTCATGCTCTGCTGCCCAGGTTGGAGTGCAGTGGCACGATCTCGGCTCACTGCAACCTCTACCTCCTGGTTCAAGTGATTCTCCTGTCTCAGCCTCCCAAGTAGCTGGGATTATTTATAGGTGCGTACCACCATGCCCGGCTATTTTTTGTATTTTTAGTAGAGATGGCAATTTGCCAATATGGCAACTTTGCCTTATTGGCCAGGCTGGTCTCAAATTCCTGACCTCAAGTGATCTGCCCACCTCAGCCTCCCCAAGTGTTGGGATTAGAGGCATGAGCCACTGCGCCTGGCCCATTTTAAGCATTTTTGAAAACCATCTCAAACAAAAACTGAAACTTTGACAATAACATACATCTAACCATGTGGTTCCCACTTTCCCAGCCCTTTGGCTTCACACCACCTGGGCATTTGAAACTCATGTTTATTATTCCCTTGCTTTCCTTGTATGCAGTTTTATACATCCGCATGTATTTTTTTAAACTAAAAAAGGTTTCGTGTTGCATGTAATCTTTTGGAGTTTATTCTTTTCATTTCTTGTTTCAGTTTTGGTGGACTGTTGATTTTAGGAAATTTTTTCAAAGGGCCTGTGATTTTTCTTTTTATTCATCCTTGCAAAGGAGATTTATGCTTGCCCAGGGTGGCATACAATCTAGTGATTTGGGAATTTGTATGAAATTTTACAGCAATTCCTGGTCAGAATCAAAGGCAGAACAGAAAGCTGTAGGCTGCCATTGTGGGGACCCAGCAGGCTGTGTGGACTGAGTAACTAACCCTGATCTGTTTCCTAACTTGAGTGGGGTGCTGTCCTGGTGTTCCTCAATGGCCCTTCGTAATCTCCAGTTAAACATTTCTGTCCACCACCACATCCAACACTGGCCACTGGGTGTGGCAGCTCCCATCAGAGCAAGTTGTGGTTGTGTTACTGTGATGCCTGTCCCTGGAAAGAGGCACAGAGGCAGCGAACATTCCTGTGGCCCCTCAGCTGGCCCCATCACTCCTTTCTCAGAACACCCTTCAGGGATCTAGAAAAATTCTTTATTCAGATAGAAAATTGTTTCATAGTAACAGGCCATTCTATGTATTAGATAGCGCTGTTTCTTCATAAGTCATAAACCTAAGACTAACCCTGATCTGTTTCCTAACTTGTGTTTTAACTCATACCCTGATTTTAGCTGCCATGGTCTTTTCTGCAGAATGTGTTCTATTCCCTACATCCTAATTTATACCCCAAATTCCATTCAAATTTTTCCCTTTTTCAATTTCATGGACTCTCTCCCCTGAACCTTCAGTATTTGTTACTGCTCTCAGCTCCTTTCCTTCCTCCCATTCCCACCGAATGCCAACCATGAACTGTTACTTGGTTAGCACTTACTGTAAGCTCATTATGTATCATCTCATCTAACTGATATCCTACTCTATGAGATGGTAATGTTTTTCCATTTTATAGATAAGAAGACTGAGGCTCAATGAGATGAATTTGGCCAAGGTCCATATCTCTGGTGAAGAATTTGAACCAGTTTTTTTTTTTTTTTTTGAGACAGTGTCCCACTCTGTTGCTCTGGCTGGAGTGCAGTGGTGCATTCTCGGCTCACTGTAACCTTTACCTCCTCGGTTCAAGTGATCCTGCTGCCTCAGCCTCCTGAGTAGCTGGGACTACAGGTGTGTGCTACCATGTCTGGCTAATTTTTGTATTTTTAGTAGAGAACGGGTTTCACTATATTGGCCAGGCTGGTCTCGAACTCCTGACCTCATGATCCTCTGGCCTTGGCTTCCCAAAGTGCTGGGATTACAGGTTTGAGGCACTACGCTTGGCCATTTTGTTTTTTTTTTTTAAATTATGATGTCTTTGGCTCTAAGTAAAAGAAAACTTAAAGTGGCCTTAATAATGAAATTTGCTATTTCACATAAAAAGGCTGGTTAATTCCATGGCCCTATATTACCTTCAGGACCCTGGCCTTTCTTTTCTACCATCCATCCTTGATGTGTCCAGGCCTTGTCCCCAGGTCAGCTCTCCACAAGGCTTCCAGTCGCCTGCCAGCCTTTCATCCTCACGTCCCCCGAAAGTCTAGGGGCAGGAATGTACATTGTTTCGTGTCGTGCATCTCTGTCTCTCTCACTTGCTCTAATTTGATGTGAATCTTTTTTTTAAGAGCAAAGAAACTTTTCCCAGCACCCTCCCCTGCCCCAGCAGATTTCCCTCATATTATCCAGAATGCCAGGAGCCTGTGCCTAAGCAGTCATGGGGAAGGAGCTTAGACTAATCCAGGCTGGCAATCCAAGCCTCCCTGATGAAGTTTCTGGCTCCTCGGAAGAAAGAACAATGGGGGTCAGGAATAGGTATAAGCTGTGATAGTGTCTGTCACAAAAGCCAAAGTCTGGTTGTTAAGCTTGACACACTGCTGCTATTCTGGGCTCTCCCCTCAGCTCCTGCCCTCACTCTAGCATATTTCCTCAGCTGTGAGGTGAGTCTCCCACAACTCTAAATGACACATTCCAAAGCTATCCTTTGCAAAACAGTGAGGATCTACATGAAATGTGCCTTGGGGCCCAGCGCTCTTGTGCAAGTCCCCTGGGATGTCAGTGCTGCCCTTGGTCAGCACAGGCACATCACCGGAGGTCGGGAGAGGAACAGAGCTCTGCCTCAGAAAGGTTGGCCCTGAGCCCTGAGCCTGGCCCTGACCCAGCCCAGAACTGTTTTTTGTTTTGTTTTTGAGGTGGGGTCTCACTATGTTGCCGAGGTTGAACTGAAATTCCTGGGCCCAAGCGATTCTCGCAACTCAGCCTCCCCAGTACCTGGATGTGAGCACAGCTGTACCTGGCCCAGAGCTGGGTTTTAATTATGTTCCCCCACCTCTGAGAGCTCATCTTCCTGGTCTGTACTTTTTCTTCTCTTAGAGTTGAAATGATTTTTTTTAAACAAATTCTAACTTGCCTCCTAGTCTAACCACCCCTCCCCCACCAAACTTTATCCTGTTTCCTTCCCTCAATTCCCCACAGCTTTTCTGGCTCCCATGGGCATGCATTTGGCCACCGTGGCCAGAGCCTAGCAGAGCGTGGCTCATTTTGTTGAATGGATGATTCTGATCATAGCAGGCATTCAGTAAGCCACTCTTGTTAAATTATTGAAAATAAATGTTACTCCCTAGAGGTGTCTAGATTCCTTTTTTCCCCCTATCACCTGTCCTCTTTCACCTTCCCTCTGGGCCCTGGCTTCCCTCAGAGCCTCTTTCTCCAGGTCTCCCATTCCTTTGATGAAGACTCACAAGGAGCACAGTGTCCACATCTCAGGCAGGCACTCAGGCAGGAAGTCACTGAGACAGAACTCAGTGGCCTGAATGGTTTCTGCTCTCGCATCTCCCACTTTGTACCTTGGGACTTCCTTCGGTTTGGGCCCTGCCCCGCAAGGCAGGATCACCTTTGTCCTGGACAGACAGGCTCGCTAGCCTCTGCTCTACAGTTCTGCCCACCTTGGCCCTGGCTGTCCTCACATGAGTGCCCTCTCCTTCCTTTCCTCCCTTAGCCCTGCCTCCTTCCTCTGGCCCCACAACCCTGGACACGGTACACACAGACCAGAGCCCTGGCTCAAAGGCAAACAAAAGAAACTGCCCGGCTCCCCATGGCTGTGGCCAGCACCTTCATACCGGGGCTCAACCCTCAGAACCCTCGTTATATCCCGGGGTAAGACTCCTACCCAGCATTTCCCACTTGCTGCTGGGAGTAGGGGTGAAGGAATTATGCTGCCTAGGGTATGGGGCCAAGCGGACAGGTTGGTTTGGGAGGCTGAGGTCTCTATGGTATTGGATGGAAAAGGAGAAGCAAGGGACTAGTGAGACCCAGGTCTGCCCCAAAGCTTTGTGGTGTTCTCACCATGGGAACAGGGTAACAGCAGAGAGGAAGGATTGAAAGCCCAGGCAGAAAACTTAGAAATGCCTGCTCCAAATATATACACAGCTGAGTCCAGAAAGATCAGGGCTCCAGATGTCTCTGCTTCTGCCTCTGGGGAGTGGTGGGGCAGGGGGATTCTGTTGAGTGGGTGAGTCTGTGCTGCAGGTACACTGGACACTGCCCTCTACTTCAGTTCAGCATGGGCCAGACCTATGGGCAGGTGACTGGTCAGCTACTTCGAGGCCCTCCTGGCCTAGCCTGGCCCCCAGTCCACCACACACTTCTGCCTCCCATTCGGCCTCCAAGATCAACTGAGTTTCCCAGGGGGAGCCTGCCTCTCAGGCGTGGGCACGAAAGGCTAAGCTCCAGCATGATCCCTGGGTACACAGGTATGCACAGGTAACCTCTCCCAGGAGCATATGTCCCAAACACTAATGAGTCTTCCTTGTCCCCTTCCCCCCACCCAGGTTTTGTACCCTGGGCACAGTTCATCTTTGCCAAGAACTGCAGCCAGGTCTGGGCCGAGGCTCTGAGTGACTTTGCTCACTTGCATGGAAAGCAAGGGAGTGAAGAGCTGCCAAAGGAGGCCAAGGGAGAAAAGGACACAGAGAAGGACCAAGGGCCAGAGCCAGAGGGACAGCTGGAGGAGCAGCCAGCACTGGAGGCGGCAGAACAAGTGAGACCAAGACGCTGGTGGGCAATGTGTAGGGGTGGGAGTGGGGGCCTTATTATGTGTCCAGGCCAGGGGGTGGCCATGCGTATAGTGGCTGTGGGTTCAGGGGATATGTGTTTGACTGTCAGCTCCACCTCCCTAGGAGCTTGTGTGAGAGCACAGGGTCTTCTCTCATAGGCTTCTCCCTACTCCATGGATGACAGGGACCCTTGGAAGTTCTTCATGTCAGGTGAGAGCCAGGGGGGTCAGGATCAGAGGCCCCAGGATGTGTTGACTTAGTGTCCCCATCCCCAGGCTTCACCGCTATGTGCCCCGCGCCCGCTTCCTCTTTGGCTCCAGCTTTCCTGTGCTCACCAACCAGGCACTGCAGGAATTTGGGCAGAAGCACTCACTGGGCAGCACCCAGAAAGACCCCAAACATCTCCCCCCGCTTCCCAGGACATACCCACAGAACCAGGGTCTTTTACCTAACTATGGGGGCTATGTGCCAGGTGAGACAGTCCCCTGGGGAGGCTTTGGGGACTGGAATGTTCATATGGGTATGGGGTGGGTGGGGTGGTTGGAACTAATAGACAGATATGGGAGGGCTCAGATCATGTGGTTCAGCTTTATCATTAGGCAGAAAAGGAAACTGACATAGCTACCCACAGTGGGGAGTTAGTTAGGACCAGATTTTAGAGGGCTGCTTGGATATCTAGCCAGCTGGCTGAGAATGAAATGGCTTTGCCATGCTGCTGGCTACATGTGACAGACTCTCTTGGCCACACATTTGGGCATCTCACTCATGATGCTCTGGGCCTTGGCACCTTCCAGAAGCAGCTCTTGGCTTAGGCCCTGGACATCAAGTTTTCCCTTCCCTTTTCATTCCATCCCAGCCATCCTTTTGGAAGGAAGGTGGGAGGGTGGGGGAAGCAGGAAGAGAAAATGGTCTGGAGGCTGAGCACCTTTTTTATTAATAGGTATAATAAATAAATAAATACATACATAAACAGACACCTGGGTTCCTCCTCCCTCTTCTGATGACCAGGCACTGGCCACAGCCTATTTACAGCTGGAGGGCTTAGGGAATCTGGCCCCAATACTGTCACCCATCCTTATCTCCACCTGGCCTAGGGAACCCTGCAGATGGCTGGCCCAGACGGGCCAGGGGAATCCTGGCAGCCCAGTGCTGCATCCCATCCCTCCTTTCCTGGGTGGAGGTCTGGATGAGGTCACTGGGACAGTTAAGGGGGCGTAATTAATACTGAGCACAGGGAGCAGGTGCCAGCACAGGAATACGTGGCCCCAGCTCTCAGTCTCCTCTCTGTAGCCAAGCCAAGGGCTTGGGAAGGGCTCTTGGGCTCTGAGTCTGGGGGTTATGAGGGTCTCTGAGGCCACCAGCATGCACAAGACCTCAGTTTTGGCTGCTTCCAGGGGTCGGACTTGGAGTTGGGGTCAATGTCACGTAGGCCAGGGGCACCAGGCCAGAGTCAGGGCCACGGCTACAGCGCAGCCAGTCTCCTCCAGCTCGCCCCAGCACTCGAAGGATGTCTCCTTTGTGGAAGCTCAGCTGTCCAGGGCCGGTGGCCAGGTGGTGGCACAGTGCCTGCACCTCGCTAGGGACAGAGCACATGGTCAGAGAAACCCCATTAAAAGCCAACCCCAGTCGCCTAGCCCTTCCATTTCCCCAGGCTCACCACGGAGGACTGGAGGGCAGGGCTGGAGAGTGTGGCTCCTGCAGGCTGTCCTTGGACTCTGGCTCCCGGCGGGCACCCATTGTCTGTGCCACTAATTGGAACATGGACTTGTCCAGGCTCAGCCAGTCCGAGGGGAGTCTAGGGGACAGCAGCCGGGCTCAGGCTCTGCCCAGGCTGGGCTATGTCTGTGCCCCAGCTTAGAGCAGGCTCCCTCCCTCCATACCTACCTTGGGCAGGCTCTCACCTGTTTGCAGGCCGGGCCTCCCGCTGGGCTTTTCGGGAGCCAAAGAGGTGTCCCCACTTGATGCCTCCAAGTGAAGCCTCTGAGGCCCCTTCTTCATTTTCTGCTGGTGGTGCAGAGGGCCCTTCCCTCTCCCGACTACGCCTCAGCTCAGCCAGCACAGAGTCAGGGGGGCTCCCCATCCAGAAGGGCCAGCCCCTTTCCCGGCCCAGGGTCTCCTCAGGGGCAGGACAGGCCTCAGCCCCCTCTACTACTCCTTCTCGGGGCGGTGGAGCCTGGGGAAGCCCCCCGCCTCCTACCCCTTTCTTTTTCTCACTGCTGCTATTGCTGCTGCCACGAGGGAATCTGGAACCCTCAGTGGAGCCATCGATGTAGACCTGGGAGCTCTGCATAAGCTGGTACCACCAGCCAGCATGCCCGCCTTGAGCCCACCTGCCATTCCCTGAGCCCCCAGCTGCCTCTGCCACTTCTTCTGTCTCCTCCTCTTCCTCTTCTCCACCTTCTGAAGCACCCACACCCTTCACCCGCTCCCCCTGGGCTGCCCTGTCCACATCTCCAGGGCCCTCCTGGCCCCGGGCCCGGGCCAACTGCAGCGTGGAGTGGGCAGACAGCAACAGGTCCTGGGACACCCGCAGCAGTTCCTTGTGCTGTCGCTGCTGCTGCCCACTTTGCAGCAGCCGGTGCTGGAACAGCAAGTCAAGGCTGAAAGGCAGCAGGGCTAGGGGCTGTAGCAGCAGCAGCAGCTCTTCAAAGAGGCCAGGGCACACGGTATGAGCTGCACTCAGGAAGCCCCAGGGCTGGTAGTGGGTCTGGATGATGTCTAGGGGAAAAGAGAAAGGGACTGATGCACACTGAAAAGCAGAGCCTGGCCTGAGTGGGACTTTGAAAGACAGCCTGGGCAAAGCTGCTGCATACAGTGGCACAGGCTGTGCACTAGGCAATTTGCATGTACTACAGTGTAAATGCTGCTGTCCGCAGCTGTGCAATGCCTAAACTCTCCAACCCCAGGCAGTGGCCCTGAGTTTAAAGGAGTAACATGCTGAGATTCAAGGCCATGCAGGACCTTGGTGGATGGGCCTGGGAGGAAGCCAGGGTTGTAGGTCATCTGACTTCCAGATTGTTGGAGTATCCTGCTGGCTCCAAGGTTTTATTTTGTTTGTTTTTTTTTGAGACAAGCCTCGCTCTGTTGCCCAGGCTGGAGTGCAATGGTGCAATCTCAGCTCACTGCAACCTCTGCCTCCTAGGTTCAAGCAATTCTCGTGCCTCAGCCTCCCACGTAGCTAGGACTACATGCATGCATCCCCACACCCAGCTATTTTAGTATTTTTAGTAGAGATGGGGTTTCACCATGATGCCCAGGCTGGTCTCGAACTCCTGATCTTAAACTTCTACCTCGGCCTCCCAAAGTGCTGGGATTACAGGCATGAGCCACCATGCCCAGCCCAATGTTTTAACTCAAGCAGAAGCTGGGGAAGGCCTTGGGGGAAGCCCGAGGCTCTGAGGATGAATGCTTGTATGGTCCCCCTTCCCATCTCCAGCAATGAAAAGACAGCTCTTCCTCTTTTGCGCCTCTGAATTCTGACCTGGTTGAGTTTGTGCGACAGAGCAGGGTTCTGGGCATTACCTTCGTGGTTATAGAGGTGATTAAACCAGAACTCCAGGGACCGGATGCTGTAGGGAGACAGGTGAAGAAAGTTGAGTCTTCTGTGAATAGAGCCAGATAAGGAGGCAGATCCAGGGGGGTCAGGCACGGGAAGAATAGCTGAACTCTCCTTTCCATGGCAGGATTCATTTCACCTAATTCCTGAGAGTCAGTGGGCATGTGTGGAGGGAGATAGACGGGCATGTGATTTATAAGCCAACTGCTTCCTCCTGGAGTGGAGTCAGCCTGCAGTCGACCTAAGAAATCAAGGCAGCTACTGTGTGAAAGTACAGGCAGCTCAGGGCCAAGAGGATGGCCCGGGCCCGTACCTACAAAAGCATGTTACTAGGATGTGTGTCCCAAGGTGGACTTAGGGTGAAGCAGGATTTGGAAGTAGTGCTGGAATGGAGAGGATCAGGATTTACAAGTTCCAAAAAAACTGAGACACCCAACTAATTTCCAAATAATCCAGATGACAGATTTGTAAAAGCAGAAGACCACGTTGGTGACCAGTGTCAGAGTCATGGACACAGTGGGAAAGCAGTGACCTACTGAGAGGCAGTAGCTGGCTGGGGGACAGTGAGCCTGTGCGCTGGCCAAGACCCCACAGATCCCCCCTTTCTGTCTCAGTCCATCAAGTTGGTTTCTCGGCGCAGGCAGAGCCCAGGCAGTGGAGCAGGTTGTTTAGGGGATCTTGCTGTTCTGTGTACTCACTTGAGCAGGCCGAGGATGAAGGCGTTGAAGCGCATGGTATGACTGGTGAGCTCTGGGAATTGGCTGACTTTGTTGTAGAGGCCATGCAGGACCTTGGTGGATGGGCCTAGGAGGAAGCCAGGGTTGCAGGTCACATGACCAATTTCTGGAAGCCTAAATTCAGCCCCGGGTCCCCATCTTGCCACCCAGCACCTACCTAGCTGTGTGGAAGCCTCAACCACACTCCATGGCATGTTCTTACGCTGCCCAATGATAACGTCCAGTACAAAGGCCTTGAGCCCATCCTCCAGCACGGCTCGGACAGCAGGGCACAAGTACTTCAGAACCAGGTGGCCCACATTGGGGCTTACAGAACTGTTTCCCAGCTTTGCCTGCGGGTGCAGTAGGGAAGTGCAGAAAACCCCCTCAGGCCTGCCCATGGTCCTCTTGTAGCAGGGCCTCATGGTTCCCCTCTTGCTATCCCCATTCCTAAGTGCCCAACCCTGGGCTCTAAATGCAAGACAGCAAGGGAAGGTGGTGGCGCAGGACAGGCGAGGGCTTGCAGAGCTTGGCTCTACACATTTCCTTGCCTACCTTCACCCCGGGATCCCGGCTTGTGCCAAAATGGGCCACAATGAGGTCCACAGCGGTGTTAACAGCTTTTACCAGCCCTGCAAGAAAGAATGTGAGGTGACAGGTCCCTGAGAAAGTCCTTAGCCAACTCAGCTAGGGCCGAAACCTCAGAGGGGTTGGAAAGTGCTCCCACACTTACTCAGTCTCCACACCTGCCTGTGGGTCTCTCCAAAACGTTCAGGCTTGGCCCTTTTCTGGGTCTGCCTAGTTCTTAAGCACTTCCTGTCTTTACTTCCCAGCCTGGTGCCACCTCAATGACGCCTTTGTTAAGTCTCTCAATGTCCTCACCTCTCAGCCCTCTTATTCCAATCCTGAGTCGTCTAACTATCAGTTTTCTCCACTCTGAGAAACCAGGCCACTGACCTGAAGAAAACCCAAGTCCCTCACACCAGTGCCAGACAAGGGCGATTCCTTGATATGTGCCTCGTCAGCACCCTCTGCCACACCCTCAAACTGCCATGTGAAATCTACACCCCTCCTCTCAAGCTCTTGGTTCTGCTTTAGAGAAGAGGCCCCTAGTCATAAACTCCTTTAACTTCTCTCTGCCCCAAAATCTGTAACAGTCTTGTACATATACCCCTCGCTCCCTTGTTCACTCGCATCCCCTTCACGTCCTGGAGGAAGGTGGCTGTTCCCCTTCTTGCCCGGGTTCTTCTTCCTCCCTGACCTCTGATTCTCCCTTTCTGCTTTCGCAGGGAACTTCAGTTGTCTCTCTCCCTCTTCACAGACTCCTCTTCAGCTCACAATTATGCTCAGTTCTCTCCAGTTCCCTAAAAATGTTCTTAGTTCAGTGGTCACTTATTTGCTAAATAGAGTGGTTCTTGTCATTCCTCATCTTACTAGATATCACCAACATGCTTACCCAAGCTGCTGGGCCCTCTAGTACCTTCACCTGCCCCTCCAAGGACATTGAGGCATTTTTTAATGACATGGAAGCCTCCTCGTTAAACTTTGCTCACTGTGGAAAGGGACTGGAGCCCGACTCTTAAAGCCTCTGATGAAAGACCCTTGCTCACTCACACACACTCAGGATACACAGCACACCGCTTCCTCCTCTGGCCCCAGGGCCTGAGTGCTCCAACTCCTTCCTAGCACTTGGAGATTTTTTTTGCTTGTGTTTTTTTGAGATGGAGTTTTCACTCTTGTTGCCCAGGCTGGAGTGCAATGGCGTGATCTTGGCTCATTGCAACCTCTGCCTCCCAGATTCAAGCAATTCTCCTGTCTCAGCCTCCTGAATAGCTGGGATTACAGGTATGGCACCACCCCCAGCTATTTTTTTGTATTTTTAGTAGAGATGGGGTTGCACCATGTTGGCCAGGCTGGTCTCAAACTCCTGACCTCAAGTGATCCACCCACCTTGGCCTCCACCCCAAAGTGCTGGGATTACAGGTGTGATGTGGGTTTGGCCAGCACTTAGAGATTTAAGACAGGCTAGGTAGTAGGGCAAGTGTGAGGAGGTAGTGACAGCGG